CATTATATTTTTCCTTCCCTTCCCCTATGGTCTTCTGTTAAGTTTCTCGGATTGCACATGTGAGTGAAATCATACGATATTTGTCTTTCTCTGACTGACTTATTTCACTTAGCAGAATACCCTCCAGTGAAAATTAAGCTACAAACAGAGAGGGAGGCAAACCATAAGAGACTCTTACACACAGAGAACACACTGAGGGTTGATGGGGGTGGGGGGGTGGGGGGACGGGGAAAATGGGAGACGGGCATTAAGGAGGGCACTTGTCGGGATGAGCACTGGGTGTCGTATGTAAGAGATGAATCCTAGGAATCTACTCCCGAAGCCAAGACTACACTGTATACACTGTATATCAGCTAACTTGACAATAAATTATTCAAAAATAAAATTGGAAGAAACCATTTTTAAAATTCATGGTCAGAAATGACATGTAACCATTTGCAGAATAAGAGCTGATATGAAAGATGAAAAGAATCCATTGTGTAATACACAACAGACGTGTTAATCAACTGTTTATGTCCATCAGTAAGACTTTTTGGTCAACGATAGGCTATTAAGTTTTACGAAGAATACAGGTGAATTTTTGACTATGCAGGGGATTGGCATCCTTAACCCCTGCATTCAAGGAGCAACTGTGTATTAATGGGTGTCCAGCCCACTCTGGCCCAGATTGACAGAACTTCGAATTTTAAACCAGAGGGGTAAAAGGAATTCTATCTTTCTTAAATTTTACTGTGGTTACTGGATGCTCTTAGCCACAATTTAGGAAGCAGCATTGACATAGGATCAAATTCTAGGTACAGAATTGATTCTGACCCAACAAGCTACAAATCCCCAGAGTCCATGTGGCCTGGGTCTCGTGGAGCATGAACAGACCCAGAACAGAAGTGGAATGCCCTAGGATTTCTGCGCCCTGGTCCCCACGTTCCCCGAGTTCCTCAGGTGGGGTCCAGAACTGACCCTGGGCCACGGCCAACCCTCCTGCCTTTGTCGGGGTGTCCTCTCCAGCCTGGCAGGCGACCCACCCACCCTGGCCTAGGAACTCTGTCTCTGCTTCCTTCCCTCTCTGCAGGTCTAGGGCATCCCTGGCTTCCAGCACACCGGGTACCACGTGCACCCCCTGCTGGCTGCGTCGTCAATCCTAGGAGAGGGGCTGTAACCTTTTCCTGGAGAGTCAATCTGCCCAACCAGATGGTCCACGTTTATTTTAAACAGGTGCTTTCCTAGGGGACTGAAAACTGGGGAATTTGTGGAACATGGGGTTATCTTGGAAAATTTGGTAGAGGGTGACCTAAGGATTGAACTGCTTAAACCATTGACCACACACGAAGTCGGTAGATGTATTGTTTGAGTTTAAATAATTGGCGGGATGCAGGCTATGCGTGGATGGATGTAGGTGGACAGAGAGATCGGTGCAGCCCACAACCAGGACCCCAGCCGGTCTGCCACGATCCAGCAGCTCTCCGACCTTAACTGTGAGTGGAGCCACAAGAAGACTGCCCCCGGGCAGCCGGAAGAGGTTTCTGAGAGCGAAAACTGAAACCTATTCTCTCCCCCCAGGGGAGCTCCGGGACCCCTTACACAGGTCTCATTTAATCTTATTAGACTTGTCCTAACCCCTCTCTATTGGTTTCAAGCTGATAACATATCGGAAGCAGAAATGAAAAGGCTGTTAGCAGGAGAAATGCCTCGGCACGAAAGAGGTGGTCTTTGTGAAGCGGACCGAGCCTGAGAAGTCACTGTACCATCACCTAGTGCCAGACGACACAGTGGCCGACGGCCCCACACCGGGACCACCGCACGTTATGACTTTATGTTCACAAGGATGACCTTAGTCACTAAGAAAAGGTTCAACTACTTTGCTTATTGAGGCAGAGAGGCAGAGGCATATATGATGTATTTCAGGAACTGAATAGTTCAAACGAAAATATCTTGAGTGTGTTAAAAAGCATTACCTCTTCCCCGAAAGTATCCAAATTCTCATCTCTGGGGAAACATAGCTGCCTAAATGATTCAGTCTCGACGATCACTCTCTCTCTCTCTCTCTCTCTCTCTTTAGTATTTATTTTTGAGATAGCACAAGCGGGGGGAAGGCAGAGGGGGACAGAGGATGCAAAGCGGGCTCTGCACGGACAGCAACGAGCCGATGCGGGGCTCGAACTCAGGAACCGGGAAATCACGACCTGAGACGAACTGGGACGCTCCGCTGACTTCATCGGACCCCCGGGTGCCCTAGTCCCGATGGTTTCTAGATGCCTGGGCCTTGATAGCAGGGCGTCTCGCCTGACTTGATCACGTGGATGTTCCTCGACATCGCCTCTTGGGCGCCGGTCCCCGGTCGCCCCTGTGTGGGAGCGAAGCCGGGAGATAATGGAGAGAGTCTGGAGGGAAACAAGAATGCAGGATGGGTTCTCCAACGTGAGCACACACGAGAGGCAGTTTCAAATGCAGATTCCTGGGGCGCCTGGGGGGCTCAGTCAGTTAAGCCTCCAACTTCAGCTCAGGTCATGATCTCAGGTTCGTGGGTTCGAGCCCTGCATTGGGCTCTGTGCTGACAGCTCAGAAC